TACATCAAAAACAGTTCGATTTACACAGATTTCTTCATGTATTTTCTTTCAGTGAAACAAATGACATTGATATTGCGCCAAATACACGAGTTGGGACAAAACGATACATGCCACCAGAAGTGGTGAATGATTCCATACAGTGGAATCATTTTGAAGCGTATAAAAATGCAGATATGTATTCATTTGGTCTTGTTTTGTGGGAGATAGCCAGGAGGTGCTATGTGGGAGGTAAGTGTCTTCTGACATCATGGTAAGAAGCTTGGATCAAATGTATTGTATTTGCAGTGAAGAGGTGTACTGGGATTTCACTGACCCTCCTATTACCAGTGACATTTTAGATTTAGCTACTAGCGATTCTCTTTCGTCACAAATCACCAAATCAGTCTGAATAAAAGTCAGGTAAATGCACCATGTTAATACTTTTGTTACTGTAGTTTGCCTTTAAATACCACATTGTCAACCTTAAAGAAATATGTAATTTATTTTCACTATGCCTGTAATAAAAAAAGGCAAGGTATATTGGTCGTCTTATCAATTGTCGGTGAACATAAAATCAATTACGTAAAATCTGTATTAGAAGCCGCATCCCTAATATAAGTGGCACCCATTCTTTTTGAATAATTGAGAACCCAATAATCATGTACATGCTCTAATAGAAGCCGCATCCATTCTGTTGCATTGTACCATTTCGTCTAATACAGATTTTACATTACTGTGTATTTTTGAACTTTGTGGTAATGTGGAAGCATTTTCTTTAATCAGGAATTGCAGAGACTGCCGAAGTTCCATTCTATGATATGTTGCCTAATGATCCAAGCTTTGATGAAGTTCGACGGGTGGTGTTCGTAGAAAGGAAACGACCGGCTATTCCAAACAGGTGGCATAGTAATGACGTAAGTTAGTTTGAAATATACCATTCTATCACAAATTTCATATAAACAAAACCATAATTCTATGACACAAAGTGTTAATGATTTCAGTAAATTTATTCCTGTCCCGCGCAAGTGAATACTTTGCGATAATCTTGTAATAACTTCATTATAAATATTTTGCTGCAAGTAGTCTTAATTTAGTTAGAGACGACAACCTAAAATGCAAGCAGAAGAAAATTTTACAACACAACTTGCTGCGTTCAGTGTCATACTTTTATTTCTGTATGTTATATTAATATACATCTGTCACCGTAACGCCATAAGTTACAGCTGCCGTAATTTTGTGGTATTTTACGGGGTATTTTCATGCTACAATATTAGGAAATGCAAATTCCAAATATGGAATGATTATGTGAAATGATGATAAGGTTATCAGGAGGATACCGCAAAATATGCACTCAGACAGTACGCTGTTGCACCGACCTCTGCTGCGCGTCAGTTGATACTCCCGCTGTACCGTATTCGTGCATACATTTTGGTATCTTCGTAATAACCTCATATTATTGCTTCGTCCAATGTAAACAGATTGTATGAACGTAATGTAAAAAAAAAAAAAAAACCACATTCAAATGTATTCATAAACCTTTTGAACACATCCATACAGGGTGTTAGGTTTAGCTAAATTCTAATTAAGTCTGTGCTGTATAAATTTGTGACGTTTTTGGGACTATTTTATCGCATGCGTCAGAATACATATTTTTGTAATGGTGTTATATGTCACCTGATCACCCGAGTGTATTGATATGTAAAAAGTAGTGCCGTTGGTGTAATTGAAAAATGGCGGAATAAACAAGAAGTTAAGTTTGAAAGCTCTCTGGTTTCTTTAATGTTTTGTGTGTTCCACATCACAAAATTATAATGTAGGAATGTCAATTTTTTTATTTTCAGTGTCTTCGGACAATGTCCAAGGTGATGCAGGAGTGCTGGAATCATAATCCAGCAGCCAGACTTACAGCGCTACGGGTCAAAAAAACACTTGGTAGGATGAAAGATGAAGACGAAGTCAAAGTGTAAATTGTCATTCTACATTTGTAAATAAATTACCTCTATATGAAAGGCTGAATAATCAATCAATGGACAGTGTGAATCAGCCAATCAAAATGCTGCTTTTTTGCAGCCATCTTGTCAAATGCATTCAACCAATCAAAGTCAAAGCTAAATATTACAATGTATTCTGTGAGTTAGAGCAATATATTGTGAATTCTCACTGTATCATACTTTACACCCTTATCATTTGAATGTGAATTGAAGCGATTCTTTCGCCCAAAGTGAATTACACTTGAAACAAAAGTCAGAGAAACTCTTCACACACTGACTCCTTTGTGATATACCATATAAACTTTGAATTATGTGAAAACAATCATTTAAACTTTAACCCCCGTTTTGATTAGCTACCTCAGAGATATTATGAGATTATATGGCTTTCATAATCTGTTATTTTTTATTGTCCAAGACAAAGTGTATTATTTTTATCTAGAAAATCTAATTTTATGGTTCAGAAAGGCGTATCTACTTACACTAATATTTCACTATATCAGTTATAATTATTTTAACTTTTGCAAAAAAAAAAAAAAGAAAAGTATTCATGTTTTTGCTGGCCATTTTAACTATTTTAAGAACAAAAAAATGGGAACTGTATCATTTTTAATTATTTTTGAATGATTTTAAAGAATTTGATTGCTTATAGTTTATCCTCAGTTGAGGACGTCAACCAAGTTTACAGAGTGATGTCATATTTACAAATAATGATGTAATCTCCACAGAATGATGTCATGCCACAGAATTATGCCATATCTACACAATGTCTTGCCCACAGGATGATGTCAACTCGTGGAATGTTATTCACTAAAGAATGTCATTCTCAAGGAATCTAGAATTATGACAATCGTTGTGATATTCACCATGGAGTGATGTCATCACTGTCTAGAATTATGACAATCATTGTGATATTCACCATGGAGTGATGTCATCACTGTCTAGAATTATGACAATCGTTGTGATATTCACCATGGAGTGATGTCATTACTGTCTAGAATTATGACAATCGTTGTGATATTCACCATGGAGTGATGTCATCACTGTCTAGAATTATGACAATCGTGATATTCACCATGGAGTGATGTCATTACTGTCTAGAATTATGACAATCGTTGTGATATTCACCATGGAGTGATGTCATTACTGTCTAGAATTATGACAATCGTTGTGATATTCACCATGGAGTGATGTCATCACTGTCTAGAATTATGACAATCGTGATATTCACCATGGAGTGATGTCATTACTGTCTAGAATTATGACAATCGTTGTGATATTCACCATGGAGTGATGTCATTACTGTCTAGAATTATGACAATCGTTGTGATATTCACCATGGCAATGTCTATAACATTCCCTGTATACTCACTCCCAAAATGTCTTAAAATAATTGCTTGAAATATATATTTATTTTTGTGATGTTTGTTTGTGTTTTTTAGGTTATTGGCTTTGTTACTACTTACTTGAAAGTAGGTTTTTAGTTCAATTGATTTCTCTGACGGGATCCTTGTGTCAGTCTTGAATGGGTGTATCTACCTACCGGTACTGACTGCAACCTTTAGAACGATTATTTCAGATCATATTAACTTGTATCTAGGTATTTTTAGATGAGTGGGATTTAGTAATCATATATCATATATCATATTTGCTCTTAGTAACACTTGTGCTTACGTAAATGGCAGAGGTATGTCAAAATAAGTCATGTTCTGATGGCATGCAATTTTTGGTTTATGTGCTTTTAATGGAGCAAGTAAACTAATTGACCAGTTCATCCAATTACATAAGAGTTAACATGTAAACAACTTGTCCAATTAGCTGATCCAATCAGATGAGAGGGGAACTTGTTACTAGATGAGGAGTTTCTTGTATGAACCAGCTTATCCAATCAGATGAAAGATTACAAAATAAACACGTTGAACAAAGATCTGGTAAACTAATTACCAGATGACCAGTTACAAGTCCCTGAATCCGATCTGACAATCTATGTAGCTTCATCTGTCAGGATCACTAACAAGAATTTTTGTTTCAAGTGTACATAACGTGTTGTAAATTAGATTTCAGTATTATCCAAGTTACTGTAGCTACTGCTGTGTAAAACTTTTTTTCAATGTAATTGCGTATTTTTCTATAGAATCATTTATTTTCATATATATTGTTAAAAAATGTAAAATCTTGCTTAAAAAAAAAAAAAAGATAGAGGAAGGAAACAAGTTATCGTGTGTGCATCCATGCAATAGGGCTAGTAGGTGATTGCTTAATTTGTAATTACTGTCGTTACTGGTGCAATGTTGAATCATGTGTAGGTTTTACATCTTTGCACACTCCTATAACATAACGTTATTCATCACCAGTATCTTTGTTACAGACTGGAACAAAACTAAATGAAACACAAGTGGAGATTCAGGCTCCATGGTTGCTTAGCGACCATGCACTAAGGGGGGATCAATGTTGATTCATTTTTGGTCAGCATTTTTATTTATTTTTTTTTCACACAATGAAGTTGAACAAAATATAATAACATCTCGTACTTTCATAAGATATTTTTGAGGACTTTCATGTATGTGTATTCAAAAACTGGGGCTTATGAATGCTATTTATGATATAGACACCTTTTGTGCGGTGGCACATGTACAGTAACATAGCAGCCAAGGAACTCGCTTAGAACACAAAACTTATTTATTAATTATCAGTGTCCCTGTTCACTACTCTGGTATATACTGCGGAATACTTTATTTTCGCTGGAATTAATTTTCACTGAAAAAGCTTTTTGGGCATTTTGCTTGGAATTTATTTTCACTGATTTTTGATGAGATTAATGTAAAATATAGGAAAAAATGTATATTCGCTGGATTTTATTTTCACGAAATCATCCCTTCAGCGAAAATAAATTCCAAGCGAAAATAAAGTATTCTACAGTATTGAAAAACTGTCAACTGTTTTCATTTTATTAAGGAAGACAATTTTCATGAATTTTGTAAGTTATGTGAACATTTCCTTGGAATCTAGAAGGAAGTGAAAATCAAATCACAGACATTGATAGTGGCATACATTTAACTGTTTACATTTAGAGTTTTGTTTGATTTGCGTTCATGATGAAATCACTTGTTGAGTACTATCAGAGGTACATTACTTGGGGTTTGCAACTACGGTGACATGATACCAAGATCCCGTTACAATCTCGCTCTCGCATAAGCGTTCCAACTCTGAAAAATGCGAATGCGCATGCCCGAGGTAACTAGGATACTGGGATGTCCAGGTGGATCAAAATAGCTGCCCACGATATGACGGATTACGAGAACTATATTTTCTGTACATTTTCGATGTATTACATTTTTCACTATGATAGTGACAAGAAAAGTTTATTTTTTTCATTACAAACCTTGAACATTGATATGCGTCATGTCAGAAGGTCGTAGCCTCAGTCTCGCTATCTACGAGAAGAGACTTGAATGGGATCTTGACATGATGTCACCATACAGTACTATGCGAGTTGCAAACCCCAAGTAATGTACCTCTGGTACTATAGATATATTGGTATTAGGATTGTGCAGATGATTGAGACACACATTGTGAAATATGTGTTGTAAAGGTTGAATCATGTACTGTGGAATACTTTATTTTCGCTGGAATTAATTTTCGCTGAAAAGGCTTTTTGGGCATTTTGCTTGGAATTTATTTTCACTGATTTTTCATGAGTTTAATGTGAAATATAGGAAAAAAAGTATATTCGCTGGATTTTATTTTCACGGAATCATCCCTTCAGCGAAAATAGCGAAAATAAATTCCAAGAGAAAATAAAGTATTCTACAGTATATCTATTAAAGTATTGGTTCTTATTTCTTCTGCCCTCTATGTTTTGACAGCGTTGTCTTTCCTTCTCAGCACGAGGATGACTGGATAACAAATTATCAATTGCACAGATATGATCTGGTTAAAATCTGTGCAAATTTTAAAAAAAATAATATTTTCAAAGTTATAATTGACAATCGTGTTTAAAATTGAAAAATCAAATTTTGATATAAATGTCACAAGATGGCTGATTTGTTAAATCTGTTCATTGTAACCTGTATATATAATCTCATGGTAAAAAAAAAAAATGAACAAAAATTGATAACACATTATGTAAAACCTGTCAATAAGCAGTCAATTCTAAATAGAAATGATGGTGCCTTGTACTGCTGTATGTTGAATCATGTTTATTATTAGTCTGACATTTTTTTAAAGTAAGAAGTACATATTGCATCATGGGAGATATATACACAGTATTTTGATTGTAAATAGCGTTACTCTTTCAAATCGCATTTTAGAAAGTTTTTAGTTACATGCTGCTTTATTTTATATAAAATGTTGAATATGCAAGCTTTTTTTTTTATTATTCACTTCTCAATATGCAAGTTTTGATTTTAAAGCGAAGGGATTGTCACCTTTGTACGTGCGGGAATTGAGTCCTCAGCGTTAACACACTGTAAATATGCAAAGGCTCATGGGTATATGCTTGTTTGTGAACAACACACTATGGTCTTCTGCATAGGTGACGGCTCATCCGCTTTAGGTAGGCTGCCTTATGTTTCTGTCACTTTCATTGTTGCTGCTTAGAAAGAAAGGACATGTAAGCTTCAATTTCTTAAATAAATAAATTTTTTAATTTGATCTTGTCTTTTGGCATCATTTTTGGTATGCAAATATTATTGGATTCATGATACTAACATTTCTCCAGTTGTTGATGACTGAAAACTGAAAGTTTACATAATGAATCTGAAACTACGGTAACGTCTCCCCTGAAAACGCTTGTTAAATTGGTGCTTTGAATAAAAAAAGATTGGTTACTAGTTCGTGTAAGCATGTACTACCTGCTCTGTATTCGTTGATAGTGATGGGCGAGAAATCTTTATTATGAAATAAATTGCTACTAGAGGCACAGTTTGTTCATACTAATCTGTCTGCCTCTGACAACACACTATAATTACAGAGCTGTCTCAATCTATACTCATAAAATCAAATGGTGTTTTTACGTTGAGTGCTGGCAAGATTGATGAGTGCTCCCCTAGAAATGTTCTCTTAGCTGCCAATTGCTGGAGAGCCTCTGTCGGACTCGTGTTCGGCAGACATACTGGCCTGTCTCAGCTTCTATTCCTCACCTGCTGCACCAGAGCCACACCAACTGGCTTAGATTGTCAGACTCCCCCCCCCCCACCCCCGTTTTGTGACAACTGCCGTGTTGTTGCAACAGATTAAAATTTTCTCATCCCAAACTTCCAGAAAGCAAGCTAGTGCCCTCCTCAGTGCATCTACGGTATGTTTATAGTTGATGGATCAATCTGCAGCAGATTCAATTAGTTCATTCACCACTTGAAGGCAGATAGATTTTGTCACAAAATGTCTGGATTGCGAATTATGAGTTGTACACAAGATACAATTATATATTTATTATAATGAATTATGAGTCAACGGCCAACGCTCAGATTTGGCATTATAACCATGAGTTAGCCACACTTCATTGAATGAGTATCTGGGCAATGTTGTGAAACAAATCGATGATTGACACAATAGACTGTGACGTCATGGCTGATATTTAAAGCTTGATGTAATACAGTTCCCACCAATTTTCCACCGATACCAACTTTAAATTTGTGCATATGTGTTCTGGGGTAATCTACAGAGATGGTATTTTTCAACCATCTTTAACAGATTTAAACGAAACTTGGTACATAATCTGTATTATTCAACTGCACCAATATCTAGGTATAAAATTTCAATAAAAATTGGTTCATTGGTTGTACTCTCAAATCATCTAGAGACCCAATTCATTAGGGTTGAAACCATGCATATTCAATACCCAATTGCATAAATGTGGCTATTTTTGGATAAACTGCAGATGGCAGATGTGCAATTATGATTACTGTAGAAAACTTTATTTTAGCTGGAATTAATTTTTGTTGAAAATACTGAGTGTTTTCTATGGAATTTATTTTCACTGATTTTTGACAAGTTGAACATAAAATATAGGAAAAAATGCATATTTACTAGATTTTATTTTCACTGAATCTTTTCTGCAGCGAAAATAGCGAAAATTAAATACTAGCAAAAATATATATATATAAAATATAAGTATTTTACAGTATTCCTTTCTGTTAATAATGCAAACGTCAATGTAGAAGATTAGATTGCTTTCACATTATGCAGACATATATAAGTAGACAGGCTTCTTGTATAAAGGTAATCTGAAATTTTATTTTTAAATTTATTTATTTGGAATTTATTTTTGCTGAAGGGATGCTTTTTTCCTATATTTCACATTCAAGTCATTAAATATCAGTGAAAATAAATTCCATACAAAACACCTGAAATCCAGCTACTAGTAGTTTACAGTACCTATTTCTACATCATGTGCCTCTAATACACAAGCTCTTTCTAGACCTAAGTTTAAGTATGACAGCAACAGTATTACAAAGACTATAAATAAAGTAAAGATAATCTTTATTTCCATCTCTATTGGATTTACTGTTGGGCTGGTGAACGACAATTAATGTTCAAACTGATGATAGACTTATGACCTGAAGTAACATAAAATAAAAGCGCCACCAAGTGACAGGAATCAAAACAATTAAACGGAGTGTACACAACTGTTACAATGTAAAGCGCCCTCATGAGGGTTAACGGTTTAACGAACACGTATGCGGCCATAACACGGCAGAGATGAAATTACAACCAGAGTACTAGTACATTGTTGACGTACTGTGTGCACCGAATACGTGTATAGTATAGATTTCCTTGCAATACGATCTCCAATGCAGGACTGGACTTGCGTCCAACGTTCTCATCACAACCGTGATATTTTCAGCTCCTTCGCCCGACAGCGCACATTTAAATTAAGACATCTGGATGTGGCATAATATTTAAAGGGCGGCAGTCGTCACGCCGCGTCCTATTCGATATGGAACTCATAGCGACGTACACAACACGTGTAAAATACATTGCTTGTTTACGTTAAATTCGAGCACGCGCTACGCGGCGACCACCGCGCTTTAATCATAACATAGTGTCGGCAAGGGATATATTCGTAAGCTGTAATCAATTGTTTTTATTTTTGTAATAGTGTAATTTAAATAAATAAAAAAAACGTAAATTCGTAGAAATGGACAAGGTGTAAAATGTAATCAGATATCTTATTTTTTTAAGCGTGAATATAAAACATTAAATGTTGTAATTCGTACGCAATTTCCAATTTTGAATCTTAAACACAAATATATTATAAAAATTTAAAATGTAATAATTAGGAATATGCTTTATCTGTAAAGTGTACAAACCTATTTTTTTTACTGTAAATGGAACTTTCCTTTTCTTTCTAGTAAAAACGTATTACCTGTACCAAGTATACCCTTGCCCCCTTCATAATAATCGGACAGTCTGATTGGCAGCGAATTTGTTTACCCTTGAAAGTCTGGATACTAGTATACGAACTCGGAGGGCCACACTTTATGCATAATGTCGACTCTGATCTAACCCAATTTCTGGTCATATGACAAACAACTCTTCTCGTATTCTCAATCACACTTAATGTGTTGTACGGCGTGAATTTGTTATTTTTCACATTTTTTATTATTTTGTTTTTATTACGTCACACGTCTACTAACTAATATAAGTTATTTTAACTATCACAGTTTCAAGTTTATCAAAACTTAAATAAAACACCAGAAAATAAATTGAAATAAAATAAAATATAGAGGATAGCATAGTCTCATCACTGTCATCGATGCTGGACATTTAAATCGCCAATATAACAAACAAATATCGCACATGTCTATCATCTCTGTGTACATTTGTACAGTAGAAAACGTGGGTTTTCGGGAAGCGTGTAAAAGCCGTCAACTACCCGGTATACAATTAGTCCGTCCTCCCAGCCACAGTCCCTGTGATAGAGGGACTATGTCTCAGCCATGCATTCAAAATTGAATGGCGGTACGTTTTATATTAGTAGCTCCAGTATTCGGGCGTAAGTGCATGTCATTTCTAGCACCGTTGATTAAATAAGTACGTTGTTATGATATTGACTCGGCGATGATTGCACGAACGCCCTCGCTGAATCTGGTCTAAACACATCGAGCCGGCGATCATCTGTCCAATTCCCCTGATACTTATTTATTGCGCCGGCTCGTTAAATTAGGGTTTATTGCTGTTACGTAACTACTGATTTTATTGATCTATAGTTGACATTTTCCGCTAACGGTGTATGGCCACTGATCGATACGTCAGACATTTATTGTGTGTTAGACTGGCGCAGTCGGAGCGATTAATTTGTTTTTGTAGTTTTGTAGTTTAAATAAAATAAAATAAAATAAAATAAAATAAAATAAAATCGCGAAATGGAGATGTCGCAGGGGATTTCGCGCTAACACCTCCATTTTGCATTTTTTTTTATTTTATTTAAACTACAAAAACAAATTAATCATCCCTACTGCGCCAGTCTAATTGTGTGTGTAACCACCGATAAACAGATGTCGTACGTACCACCCTGTCCAACATATTTGCCGCACGAAGACATATATTGTACGGTAACCACGATATATTTATCATAAGACATTTCATACTCAACTTCAGTGACGAAACTTTATTCGAGAACATTGCATGACGGGAGCTGTTTGTATAACAATGGCAGGTAATGAAAGCATACATAAATAAATCATTTACCGCCGAGCAAAGCGTCCCATAGCAACACGCGAGCCAATCATTCGACAACCTGCATTCAGTACAATAGCCATGTTGCAGAGTGTCGTACTTTGAGATCGGCGAACTAAGCAAGAAGGTATGTGTGACATGGCTATGTCTTGTTTTTAATGAACTTCACCTAAACATGCAATGTTTTTCACAGAGGTGAAACAGTTTCCCGATGTCTTCGCCAGTTAAGCGATTTAAGTTCGAGATCTAGCGGGCTTTGTCACGCCAGTTTGTTACGACATTGTAGCAAAACACGTTATACGCGGTCATTGCTATATACAGTGGGTCGCTTGAATTGTGTACGTTCTATTATCTTCGCATGTGTTGTTGCCGCGGCACTATGAAAGCACAACAGTTTTAAAACCAGACCAAGCAGAATTTATCAGGCAAGTGAAAGCCCAGTATTCACACTGAAACATAGTGGGACTTCGGGTTGTGTACTGTAGTATCTGTCATGGCCGCCACCTCGTATCGTTACACCTGTCGCTAATATCATATTCGTTTCCATGTCTATTACTTTACAGGTGATTAATCGTTTCCAATATTCGGTGATAATAACAACCAGATAGACATAAATTATCAATATTTTCCAAAGCAGTCCATTAAGTTGGTAAGTAAAAAACAAATATATTTGTTAAGTCGCAGGCGAGAAATTTAAAATCAGGAATAATCCTTTCTTTAAAAAAAGTTTTAATGCATTACATTTGTACATTGTACGTGTGGCTGTATTGCCGACGAGGCGAGACACGTGACCGGTCGTGATTGCGTCTGTTAGTTGTGTACAATTCTCGCTAGCCGTGTTTTGTATCCAAATAATGTTCAACAACGAACGACAGCAAAAAGCCTCCCCGTCCAGTCTTCCAATATTCATGGGTACGGTGAAAATGGTAATAAACGACCCCAATTACGATACAGTAGCTCGTATAGGTGATAATTTCTTGACAACGGATTATCGAATTCCGATAATGCCAAGTCCATGCATCCACCGCAATATATCACGCCTTCAAGGTGCACAACATCACGGTCATCAATCGAATGGGGTGGGGTGGGGGTAATTTGACGAAATAAGCTCGATTTGATATTTTATCATATTCTCTGTTCGAAAACATGGACAAGTTTGCAAATAAATAATGAATAGTCTAATGCACCCGCGCGCCTCTCTCTCTCTCTAAGTGACCGCACTTACTTTATTATTCGGAGTTTATTAAAATTTATGAGTGTTATCAGAAATGATTTTGAATACCAGATTGCTGATATATTCCACCGCACGCAGACAGACAATTTTACGTTGTACGAGTCATAAACACATAAAATCACGATAAAATACATATACGTATTGTGGGGAAATTGTTACTCTGGTTACAAAACACCCGTGCATACAGTTTATTGGATGCACGCGTATGGGGGGGGGGGGCATATGTCTGAAAACGCGAAGACAGATCTAGAAGAATCAATCGTGCCCACAGTAGACTAACAGTAAACTTTAGACACTCGTAGCCTTGTCAAGTGGGGGTGAAATACTTGAAACCACGATCACAAATCGACCTTTGGACTTACCTGCGCCATAATCACACACTACTTTGTTGGCTGTGAACACAAGAAAAAATAAGTGGATCCTTCAGCGGTTTGTTCCACAGAGGAATCACTTAGTTGATGACTTGGGAAACTTAAAACAGTCGACCGGATTGTATAGAAGTTTGGAGTTTGTTTGACGTTGCTTGGTGCGGTGATTGTTCCGCTTAGTCTGAGTTCAAACCTATGTGTTATCAATAAGGGCGTGTGTGGTGTAGAACTACTTCAATAACATCCTCCACATTATTATCAAAGCAATAGACAATTATGGATCCTCCCGTTTGATGTCGCGGGTACCTTTGTGGGGATTATTAAAGCACAAAGCTGTGGTAATTTAGACACCCCATTTATTGGTAGTCAATTATCACCAGAGGCGGCGGCGAAGTTCAAAATAGCAATGGATTGAGGGAGTGATGTTTTCTCGCCCTGAAATGTTAGTTTCACAAAACGTTATCAATTGACACGGCGGAAAATATTCTGTATGCTTGGTACATCATTTAAAAAGACTGCTTTCGTTTTTCTTTGATTAATTCCCTAGTAATGTAATACATTTTAGAAGTAAGGGTTTCCATGTTCCTCAGCTGGTTCTGTCGCAGATGTGGGGCATGACGCGTATTTCGTATTCGGTTGAAAACAAACTAGGTAGCGTATTTCACACCGAGTGAGCCAAGGTGTGCATTTCATAACGAGCGAGTGCTCAACTAATGGCAAGTGAAATAATGCCGGATATTACGGGTATTATATACGTCGCAATGTTTAACCAAACGTCATCAGGTAAAAGGAACGCATTATGCAAATATCAAAACGTCGTCGCGCAGCAGTGTTTGAATATCGGGCCATAGACCTTAGAATATTTTAATATTTTCCAGGCGAAGCTTTTTTTTTAATAACACGCATTGCATATCAGTACATACTAGTATACGTCGTGTGTGACGCGCTCGAACACGACGCAGTACGGTGTAGTACACCGGTTCTGGACGCAGTTCGGTGTACCACACTTTTTTTGCAGCAATATTTCAAGTTTTCATCAGCGTTCAAATACAAGATAACTCATATATTACACATTTATTTATTGATCGAATACAACATTTCAACGCATCAACAACTAAATTAGCACTAATTAAATTGTTTTTCACACATGAATTACTGACATATCGTCATGACAACCACCTCAATTTACAAACACTTCAAGCAATTTATAAATAACTATGTATTTTCATAACAGAGACGCACAACATTGGACTAACAAACGTATATTTTTACATATTCATAATATCAGAAATATGTTAATGTAACTGTGAGGACAAATAATCATTAAACAATTTAAATTCGAGACTGGTCAACTATATCTGTATCGATCTTCCAGTAATCGTGAAAATATGCAACACGAAAGAAACGATGTTTACTTTTCTGGTTCACTGTTCTGTTTTTCGCCACGTGTTTTCACTATTCAATAGTTGGTGTATCATTGCCCGATTGGGCTCGGCTTTCTTCATAGCAACGGTACGAGCGCTGAGGTCAATGAAGTAGCAAACAATGAACTTATTCTCATTCCATTAATGAAGGGTCGGAGTCGATCACAGATCGCTGTCACCGTGAAAGTAAAACACACTCCTACCAGTGACGCGATAGAGATATTGAATTCCCAAACGGACGTGACCCAGGAACAAGTACCCACTCCCCGCTTAAAAACTTTGTATCTACGCCATTAACAGTCGAGACTTTTAAAGTAGCAGAAATACAGTAATCGAGCGATGAAAGCAACCATTATTAAACTGACAATTTGTAATCGATCTGTCTGCACCCGGTATTTCGAGTTTCGTCATAAAGCGAGGGTTATCAAGCCGCCGACGGTTTTGTTTATTTGTGTTTGTTTGTTATTTTCAAACCAGAGAATGTTTCACATAACGACCTTTCATGACCCTCGATACGCTTGGGCGAACATGCCTAGGCGGATATTTGCGTTCGTTGTTCGGTACAACAAAATGGCGATGTTGTAATTCTCTTTCACGTAGATACAATACCCGATACAAGATTGACGCGAGCGTGAGAGCACCTGTATCTAAGGGGCCTTGTACGAACAGGAGAACAGGAAACCAAACGACACCACACTGTGCGTAGATTCATTGCCCGGACACGACTATGCTCCATAAAATGCACACCGCAGTACCACACCGGGAGGTGTCTACCTTTGTTATCGCAACTAATTTGTATCCTAAAGCCGATCAATGGGGCATTCTTACACACAACTGTCGCAAGGACATCAGTGGTTTTACGTAATAAAATCCCCCACAAAAGAGAAATCAATGTCGACAATAAATTATAAAGACACGCATTTTCAAGTCACTGTGGCACAAACGCAAAAAGTTCAAGACGACACAAACATAACATGGAAACATACAACTAACGATGAAAACGAAAGAGACAACAAAGGAATTAATTCAACTGGAAATGTACAGATGTTTCTTTTGAAGAAGAGCATCTGGTGGTAAAAAAAATGTCCATGCCTAAGCAAACGTCAATTTCAAAAACACAACTATTCAACTAATAACCACATACTATTACCACCCATAAATGTTTCTGTTTATCCAAGTCAGTGTTTCATTGATATATTTTTAGTTAAAGCACAGTAAAGTACACAAGACTGAATACTTCCAAAAGCCTTCCCTATAATGGAGGTTTCCCCCATGGGCATTGCCGAGCGCAACCATGGCAACCAAGGTCTTTCATAACAAGTCATCCAGAAAAAAAATCACAAAGAATGGTTGTATCCCACAAACATTGACTGTGTATGCCAAATAAACTTGAATAAAACAGAAGAGACTGTTGGGAATAGAATCAGATAGTTTCAACTCATGTCCTATTTCAATTTCAAGGAAAGTAGTCCTCAATGTAAAAACTCGTACACCACCTGTTGATTCTAGCTACAACCCCTATATACTTTGGTATAACCCACCCATGGAAGACCTGATTTAAATGGGCGTAGACGTAATTAATTGGTACAGTGTATTGGTTCAAATAAACACATTCAATTAATCTTGCGGTAAAGACGTCATCTACTTTCACAACCCAGTTTGAAAGTTTACGAGAGAGGGGTTATCAGAAAACCCCCGTTTAACATCACACAGTAATATAACAAGTTTGCATAATGCACTGTAACCTTGTTACAATGAACACCTTTATAATAAATTTCCTGCTGAAATTAAAACATAGCAATGTTTCTTGCGCGCAATAAACTCAATGTATTAAGTAGTGTAACCTCAAATAAGTTGTTTATAATAAGTGTACCAACAATGAGTTGTGACAGATGTCATTCTTTCCTTGTGCTGACAATAGCTATGTAAGAAACCAGGGTGGATTAAAGCGTGGTGGTAGTTGCGCAGCGCGTGTTCGAATTTCATTGTGAATAAACAATGTATTCAACACGTGTTGTATACGTCGCTATGAGCGGTGCGACGACTGCCGCCCTTTAAACAGGCACATGCACACTCCTTTCACAAACAATTGTTTTTATTTAGTAATTGCGAGTCAATATCTGTATTCCTTTTTGTGCATATTGAATTTATATACCCTAGTCATACGGCTGTTCATATACCGTACTTCATGTGGTAGCAACATATATCATCATCTCAATGTGTCTATATACAGAGCAGCCATCACTCTGATTCCAACATTTTTTTTTTGTCAGGGTGGTGTGGTAATTTTTTGTCTTGTTACGTGTTTGGAGAGGGGGGGGGGGCAATACAGCTCACGAACATAATTGTATCGGATAATACATACAAGGCACAATTTTATAAGTTGAAAGTCAACAAGCTGCTCTCTGATTGGACAGCTTGTTCAGGGTTGGGGTTTGGTATCCAATCAGACACAATCTTGTATTAAAGTAGCTTTGCATTGACTTCACTAAGCTGGTTCATGAGTGTAGCAACATATATCATCGTCTCAATGTGTCTACATAGCTGCGCGTCTAAGACCAATGGTTAAACACATTTTCAAAATGACAGCCACCGTTACAGGTCTTTTGGGCACAAGGGCAAACAAGTAGTGATTTAATAACCAAAGTACAATGAATCACATAGTGTTGTAGTCAAGGATCAGAGATATTTGTTTTGGAGGCGGGACAGATGGAGAGACTTGAGGTCTTTTCTGACTACACACAATAAAACTT